CGATCTCAAGCAAACGTGTTCAAAATTCAAAAAAAAAAATTCTGACCTGACGGTGGACGGCAGTATTCGGTATCTTTGGCTTACTGTAATGAGCACACAACCCATCCCATCTAAATACCCCTCCCATGCCGCTTCCGTCGTTACAATCTCGTACATACTTCCCCTTTTTCCTACCGTTTTGTATTTTTTTGTCTAAAAATAGTAGATTGTGGTTTATTTTGATTATGGAGTGAGGGAAGTTGCTGTTGTGAATACTTAACAAAAGAGGAAAGCCTCGTAGAATAGAGCAATTTATTCGATCTAAAGAAAGTTTGAGAAGGGTAAACGTCACGAGTATTCTTTTTTCTGATTATTGTTCAGAGATGTTCAGCTGATGGTGCGTGGGTTCTTGCGATATCATCCATTATGAGGGATGTCCATCGTATGAAACTTCGGGCAATGAACAGCTGTTCAAGCATCAGTTGTCACTGTTCACTGATCGGCGACATCCTTGAAGCAACCTGCTCAACCACGATTACTCCTTATTCCCTCTATTTTTAGTTCCTTTCCGCGAGAACTATCAGTGCCTACAAGTAGTTAAATTGTTGAGGTGGGCGTAAGTTCAATCGAATAGTTGTTGCTGGTTTGTTATTCGTAGGAATGTGCTGTAACAACAACGATTGACGTAATGGTCTTCTCCCTCTGGCGTCATTTTGAGAACTTTTGATGGCTCCTTATGATGCTCATCTGTTTCTAACGCTTTTGCTTTATTCTTAACTAAACTGGCTGTCTTGAAAATTTGTTTTGGGGATGCTAAAAGAGGCTACTCCCCTACTTGTTTCTGGGAATGTTAGAGAAAATGACTCCGTCTCGATTTGTTAGCTAGGATGCCAGTGCATGAAAGCTTCACTTTTCGAATGAAATCTTGAACCGCCAGAAATAGGAGCCCTGAGTCGACTTTTTAACGGTCTAAGATTTTTTTTGAAAAAGTGAAGCTTTTTGTCATTCAGTAGAGTGGATTTCTGCATCCATTCCAATGATAGAGTCTTAAATGAAATCTATAATAGCATTATTTTACAATTTTAGCAATTAATGAAATTACTTGTTAAATTAATTGCGATAAGATTGATTGCGTTCAATTGTTTGGTTTATGTTCTTCGATAGCACCTTATATGGACCAATGAACACTCTGCTTTTCATGCTATAAACTTCGTTCTTCGTCCGATCCTGTGAGAAGAAGTGCTATGGCGCTGAGTCAAGGAGACTTTCCGAGATGATAGCTGAGCTACTTCACAGAGCTTATCGTTGCGCCGTTGTCCTCCATAGTTGCAATGACTGGTTGAGGTGTGCACTGCTTAGTGCTAGACAAGAAACGAGTTGTCTTTATTGCTTTCAATTGGTCCAGCATTTCAAATGATTTGGACCCTCTTTATATTGGTTCATTAAAGAGTTGGGGTCCTATTTAGGATAGAGGTTTGTGTGATAAGACAGTGACAGATGGCGTAGTATCACAAAAGCATGGTCCCGGCTCGATATCCATCTAGGCAAACCAGGCTTTCTATCCCTCCCCGGTCAGTGGGTACCAGAGCCCTCTGAGGGGACTTAAGCAGTGACTTGTACATTGTTTGGCCACCGCAAGTCACTGTATAGGCCACATACGCATTCAATACGCCATTACGATTCTGAATGAAAGTCGAATGCGTGGGCGCATCCCCTAGACGGGACTGATTAAAAAACTTTACCTTTTACACTTATAAAATCAAACGTACAATTCCTTTTGCTATCAGACGAAACCATAGCAGAATTGGCCTAATTTTTCCAAAGATGTCACTGACAATAAAGCGCGATCTTGACGAATAATAGTAGATGTAAACCTTCAAATGGGACTCATCCTTCCTGATCTGAAAGTGACAAAAACAAAAAAGTGCAGATATCTCCACTCTAGATACTCCAACATAATTTTGGTGGTTTTGCTATGAAAATTTCTTCCGAACTATTCTTCGATGACAGCGACCTATTCAAAAGGAGTAATGCTTCTTTCAGACACCTTTAGTAACACATAACTTTCTAGTTGACCTTTTTACTTGACAGTCCAACCTAGGCCAGAAAACAAGCTTCACGGCCTTGCTCTCAAAATGCCTCGTCATTGGGCCTGTGTGTCTTTGCTGCTCCTTCCATAGATGTTTTCAAAACATGAACCTCTGTCATGCTCTCATTGTCATCTTTCCTGCTTCCCATTCCCTAATGACAAAATCGTTCCAGGGGAATATCGGAAGACAACCGCAGCTTATTTATACGACACTTTTTCGTACCCACAATTTCCTGCACTGACGATTGATTTCAAAAGTTGACATGATTTCTTGGGTAGCACTGACTCATCTTGGCTTTTACGGATCTAGCCCAACGGTGTCATCACAACCCTTTTGCTTCATCCTAGTCATTGTCTTGTGAACCACCACTTAACTCACAATATCTTTCGTTCCTTAATATTTCGTCGGTGCAGAAGTCAATATTATTCCTCGATCCATTTCCGTTAATGCTCTTCACTTTGAAAACGCTGGCAACTCCCTGTAGCTTGCTCTGTTCGAAGCATTTATACTTTCAGCGTCTAGCGTTTCAGCGTTCCATTATGAGATTTTCCTGTACAAGTGTTCTACTTTCTGGATCATTCTATACAGATGCTTCATTGAGGTGGATAGGTAATTCACGAAGAAGAAATCTTTTCTGGGAGGCTGTAATTATTCCACTCGATTATTAGCAGGCATCAATGCTGCACGACAATTTCTACAAGCACTCGCATATGTC